GGGCCAACAAGTTCTGGAAGATGTTTTCAAATCAATGCCACCCACAAAGCGAGGAATTGCCATTGGAATCGCCAATGAAACACCTTACAAATGGAGTGGAATGAGTCCCTATTTTCGTTCTGGTAAACCTGGTTCAAATATGATCCCCGAATTCGTGAAAAGCAAGGAGGCAGCTCTGCCCGATACAAAACCAACTGGCGAAGCAAGAGGAAATGTAGGGGTGCTTACCTTCTTTATCCCAAGAGACAACAAGACCGTGGCGGTCATGTTCAGTGTACCATTCGACCGCAATTTGTATATCAACTGGTGGGATGCTAAAGTTTATCGTGGTAAGAAGGAAGCTGACCACAATATGTATTCTTCTGCGTACTACAATCACAACCCTTTCAAAGGGGAGGACGGCTGGCATGAGAAACACCTAGATGATGGTTACAGTGTAAAGGGGAATATGACAAGCGGAGGCCAATGTAAAATGAAAGTAAAGATCTTCAAGTCCTCCGAGTGAGCCTATTCGAACTTGCTTTGATTTGTTTTAAAATCATCAAGTAACTGCATTAAGGCGTTATAATTAGTTATGTTGATGACGTTACAATTAACATTTTTTAGCTACAAAGCTGCTTAATAGTATGAAGGATTGAATCATTTAAAGGCTCGAGTCATAGTGTTTTGATCTGATCGAACTAGCAAATAAGGGTGTTTTGGTGTGAGTCAGTTATAAGCTTTTGAGTGATATATATTTTTTTGTTATGGAATAACCATTTCTTTAATGAGTAAGTGGCGGAGAAACTCGGAATTCGCTCTTGTGCATTTCAGTTTGTTGTATCTTATAACCCGACAAATTCTGTGAGCAATTTTAGCCACAACAGCCGCTATTAAAAACAGTTTCATTTTCTTTCTAGGAGTCGTTCTTTTGGCTACCTGGTACCGACATTTTCAAAACTTCATTCGCAACCTTATTAACTTATTATTTAGTTCTTATTAACCGAGCGGGAGGTTAGTAAGATTCTCCCATACAGACCGACCTAGCTCGGTTAATAAGATGTTCATTATATGGCTACGTATTATACTCCAATTTTTTTTATTCTTTGTACCTTTTTTTCTAGACCAGTCTAGATGACGCTCTAGATGGGAAAATCTAGACCGCTTTCGATATTGATTTCAGGCAATCAAATTCGTCAATTCGGTAGTTCCCAGTCCTTGTGAGACACACCCATGCGATAAACAATGTTATTAAAAGTTATGTAGAATGACGTGAAAATCTCATCTATGTTTATACCAGACCGGGTCTCTCAATGATTGAATTCCAATTAGTTGTGACAAGTTCATCATTAAAAGTGTCAGAACAGAAATTTGAGAAATCACGCTTCTTGATTCGCCTTTGTTTGATTCGGTCTATCGTCGAAGCAAGAACACAAAACTGCTAGAAGTCGTCGCTAACATCAGTAATAAGGTTGCCACTTACAACAACCTGATCGGGATTATTAACAAAAATATTGTCAATACGACTGGCGGAAGTTCTGTGAACATGCGTTAGCTTGTCAATCGTCGGGATGAGATAGTTCCCAGTCCTTGTGAGACACAGCTATATTGCACTGATATCAATATACATTTTCTTCAGTGCAGATGATATTCCCACCCTTCCCACCCCAGGGGAGGACATCCACCACACAGTAATCTCGCGTGTGGGAAATTAACGTCTCCTACCCCTATTCCTGCAGAAGAGAAGACTAGAATATCTATCCATTTCTTGATATTATAGAAAGGTAGCAAATTCTCCTCAGTTATTTTATGACCATGAGTATTGGTCTTGCCGGGGCTCGAACCCTCGACCTCCCGCACATCACAATCCGGCGCCTTAACCAACTGAGCTAACCGCCAATAGCCGCAGCCTATTACAGTGAGGATCAACTCTCTTTTTAGGTTGTGAAAAAAGTTGTGTGA